TTATTGGCTAAAGGCGTCATCTATCTTGAGATCGACGGGTTTGGCGCACGTATTGTCGTTTCGTACTTCTCGTCATGAACTGAAGAATACAAATATCTGAAACGCTTTCCAGCTCAACACTCAAGTTGACAGCCTACTACATTAACGAAGCGAAATGGTGACCACAATCGACGTGTTCAGCGCAAGATTTTAAATGCCCCCACACTTATTTTGGAATACATGACTCAGCTTTGCAATTACCGACGCATTTTGTTTCGACCTGCGCTGCTGGACGAAGTTTTCAGTTCCTTAAAAGGATTGCCAATCCCTTTCGCACCATCATAGGTTAGGAGCGATTGTTCGTTCTGGCAGAAAAATGTATGATGTGCACAACACGTGTGTAAAAAGAAATAAAATAAAATAAGATTACTTGATTAAAGAATTTTCCCTGACCCGTCCACAACTGTTGCCTTCAGAACGTGCAGTGAGGGATAAAGACACGACGGGTGAACGCTGTCTTTTTGCACAACAAATCCCGAGTTTTCGTGATTCTTGCGGCATTGAAGATGACCAAGCCTAAATCAAGAATTTTTCTGCGGAAGCGGAGGCATCACACTTTGTGTACAAGGTTCTACTAGTATAAGGACCTCGCAAGGAAAAAAAAGCGGAGCTCAAGCTCGTAAAAAGGGCAGCCTTCCTTGCTTAACTTATGAAGGTTCAGTAGACGGGTAGTGAGAGTGTGGCAGTGATTTTGATTAGCTTTTGTTTGGAGCTAGTAGTGAAAGCAAATGTGAGTAGTGGTTGTACTTCTTGGTAGCATCAGAAATACGAAGAAAAAAAATGTTTGCGTGAAAGTAGCCTGATTACAAGTTGTAATTCATCTTTTTTATTTTTTACGACGTCTTGTTTAGTTGCATAACGTGTGTGTATTTTTTTAATTTATTGAGGAAGTTTAAGGCCCCTTTAAATAATACTTAAGGGTGAGTTTATGTGATCTAAATATCTTCAACGTTTTTCGTACGGCACACATAAATTCTCTCTCCTTCAATAATATAAAATACACTTGACTAACGTACAATATTTACAAACATCTACATTAAATAACTTTTGATACATAAGTTTTCTTAAAACTCTCTTACTTCCTACTAAGTCTCATTTATAAAACTTGTTTCTGAGTATACCACATTTACTGAGCACTTTGGGTTCAATGGCTCCAATTCCTAGCAATTACGCAGGATTCGTTCGCGCCAAATCTTAGGATAGGTCAAGGCTTTGTTGTCTTGAAAACAACCTGATGGAAACTCGTCCCAAATCTCGCTACATTCTCTGGCTTAGATATCCATGTGAATGTGAAATTTCCCTAACATGAAAAGGTCTTTAGTCTAGATAGATACACTGATGGAAAGGAAACACAAGGTTCTCTTAGTGATCCGTTGTGGTTCGTTACGCAATTCACTGAACCAGTCAGTAGATGATGAAGCTGTGTCGTGATCTATGGCAGATATTTCAAGGACGTCTGTTATCCCTTAACAGCTGAAAGAAGGCAAAGTATCCCACTCAAAG